GTCAATGAGTTTCTTAATTTTTAGAACAAAGAAGTTGAAATCTTTCGGTGAGATCTCAAGTTCGCTTTCTCACAATTATCGCACACGAGAAACGCCGAATGCCAATCCTCAAGAAACGCCAAAAAATGAGCATTCTCATCAATCAGCAGACGATGTGTTATGTGGAATCAAAGATCGTATCCCACAAAAGGTGCGTAAGAATGGTGTCTTATGTATTGAAACGTTAATGACAGCTTCTCCAGAATGGCAAGGTTGGCATAATGCGAGTAAAGAAGCAGCATTATTTGAGAAGTCTAAAGCGTGGTTGGTTGAAAAGTTTGGTGCAGAGAATGTGATTGCAACCAGTATTCACCGGGATGAAACAACACCGCATCTCGTGGCCTATATTGTGCCATTAGATCCTCAGACTAATAAATTAAATGCAAGGAAGTGGTTAGGCGGCCGTACAAAGTTATCTCAACTGCAAACGGATTATCATCAAGCCGTCACGCAACATGATCAAGATTTTGGCTTAAGACGAGGAATTGTGGGTTCAAAAGCCAAGCATACAACCATTCAGCAGTTTTATTCTCAGATCCAAGCACCTATCGTACCGAATCAAGCATTTGAGCATGTACAAACACAGATTCAGCCAATTTCTACACCCGTACTAGCCAAACCGTTAGACAGTCAGCTCAGTGAACCAGCGTGGATAGCATCTGTAATTTATAAAGATGTCGCTTCACAGGTAGATGTGATCAGTGCCCAGTATCAACAAGCAATGCAAGATATGCAAAATGCTTATGCACATCAATTGAAAGTCACCCGTATAGAAGCAGATAAAGAACGAGATGCCCATCATCGTGCAATTCGAGTGATTGAAGATGAAAAGTTAAAAGTTGAAGCGTTACAAAAAGAGCTCAAGGTCTTTCGCGAGTATCAGAGGTTTTTCCCACAAGAGTATGCTCAACTTGAGGCGCATATCCAACTTAAATTACAAGAACATCAAAAAGTATTAGATCGCCAACATAGTTCTTCTACAAAATCTGATCTAGATCATTCATTAACCATGCATCAAAAGCAATTAAAACAGACAGAGGATCAACGTATAGCGTCTGTCAGACAACGCTTTGAACATAATATTGAACAGGCGAATAATCTCGCTGAAAAGGAAGTCTATACACAGAATTATGACAACTGGCAGAACAACCGATCATTAGATGTAAAGCAAGTGTTTAAAGAAATCTCTGAAACGTATAAAAGTACTCCTTTTTACGTGCTGCTTAAACAATTGGTTGTCAACCATTGTCATGAAGCTTTCTTAGATGAACAAACCGAGGCACTACAAACCTTTAAACCTGAACAGGTATTTGCACGAGTCCGTAATCACGTTGCTGAGAATATCAAGATGTGTCGTCTTGCAGAACAGTATTTATATCAAAGGCAGTTTGAATTACCGCCTGAGCATACAGAATTAAATAAAAAGATAGAGACCTTACGCACCTGCGTTATTCAAACTGAAGAGATGCTCAGAGAAAAGAGCTTTGCTCAAGATGTCGAACGCAAAGAAAGACAAATGAGAAATGAAG